CTGTGCTTAACATCCATGTGACCCTAAGTCTGGACAAAAGATCCCTTTCTATGAGTTTGGCTGGTATATCCCAAAGGTGTCTCCTGTCTTGTCAGTGGCATGCCTGCTCGCCAACAACCCTACCCCCATTTACTAAAATAACAAATTCAGTTGGACAAATAAAAATTAAAGAGAAGCAGAGTATTTATGAAAATGATTAATTTATAACATACCAAACAAAATCCGAACCATTTTATAACTTTTTCTTGTTGGCCATATTGCTGACAAAGATGTATATAATCGTGCAAATAATTTTAACCTATAGGACAGAGAACTTATTGAGCAAAACCCCATCTAGTCCTCTACCCAAAATTATAAATTGGTTAAACAGAGCATTTACGAAAATGATTATACAAAACAAACACTATTTTACAACTTTCCTCTTAGCATCAGAGCCCGAATGCAATTTCAGGGCCAACCAACCCTGCTCTGAATTGTGACCTCCTGTTCTTGAAACAAGCTGCAGATTCTCTTAATATTCCTCCAGAGTTGCGACTTGGTCACAGAGCCATCCTTACCCTAGAGGCAGGATCATTGCAGTCGACTTTTCATCCGACATGCCAGCGTCTGGGAAGATTAGTGAAAGCGTCATTGACAATTGGTGCAGTCTCGGTAAACTCCAGGGCCATGCTGCCCCCCTGGAGTTCGGTTGCATCATTGTATCATTGGGGGGCACAAGTCAGATTAGCCTTGTTTGTGTACACAAGGAACGTGTGAGAATGACTGTAATGTGTTCAAGTGCTTCAACATTTGCCAATTTCCAATAATCAAACATCGCATATCAAAATGTTTCTTCTGTAACAGTTGTGCTGCCTTGACATCTTGTAATTATAATAATATAATATTATTATTATTGATTACGCAAAGCCAAATATTATCAATATTATCAATGAAAATCTTGTAATTACCCAACAAGATCTGTTCTGCGTTTTGATTTCCAATTAAAATATTTATAAACTAAAATAAAAATATCAATACAAGTAAAAAAAAAGTACCTCTGGTTAGTTATTAACACTTCTTCTTTAGGAGACCCAAACCAAACCAAACAAAAAACTCATGTTTTGTCACCTTGGACTCTGTCAAAAAATAAATTGTTTTTTTGTCCTACCAAAAAAAACCAATAGGATAAATAATTAATGTGTAACATGTCGAACAAACAAACTTTTTTTCAGATTTTAATTAAATTTAAAGAATGCCACCAAAGAAAGATTCCAAGAAAAGAAGTGTAAATAAAGCTATAGCAGATGATGGTGGTGGTTGTTATCACCCGCCACTCGTCGTCACTCTAGTTTTTTTAAAAAAATAACCACCATTATTTTTATTGCTTTTGCAAATTAGTTCAAATTCGTCATTTCTTTTCAACACTGAAAACATCAATACACCATCGTTTGGTGGGGTAAGAGATCTATTACATTTGTGTTATTTGGATGAATTAAATATTAATTTAACATATTTATTATATTAGAATGGATTATTTTTATCAGATGATATTACGATATACCGTAAAGTCTGGAAAGATAGCACCCCCTACTATAAAACAATTGAGTGTCAATATAAAAAAAATGGTACACATATGTAAAAAGGGGATGCTATCTTTCCAGACTTTACAGTATAGTATTTTATATCCTTTATTTCAAAAAGTATCTCAATGGTATTATGCTTTATCAATATACTTGTATTGCATATTTGAATAAATTTTTATTGATATTTATTTTTTTAAAAAAAACAGAAATGTCCTAAAAATAGGAATCTTAGATCTTAATGATTCAATATTTGATAAATCACCTTTTGATGCAATTAAAAATTGATTTGTTAAAAACTTGGATCAATATATTCAATCAATTAACATAAATCAAGAAATAAGGGATCAAATTATTGCATTATCAAGTAGTGATTCATTCAGGTTGGCAAATGTGTGGTCCATTGATGGTCTATTGGTGGTCCATTGGGTCCATTAGTGTTTTCAATGGACCAGTCAATTTGCCAACTCTGGATTCGTTTGAAAAGATTGAAATAATGTTGAAAAAATTCTTTTCTATGGATTCATTATTTAGTACCGAATTCAACTCAGCAATGCTAGTCTTTGTTACGAGTTTTTTTAAATACATGTAAGTTTTCTATATTTGCATTCACATTAGCTTCACAAAATGATAAGATTCATTCCCATTTAAATAGGTTAAGATTGTTTAATTTGAATCAAGAATATTTTCTGCTTAGTTTATCTGAGAATCACATCACTTGAACAGTTTTCTTAAATATCTTCATAGACTTGTTTTATGATAACAATGAATATAGAGTGACTGGTCAAAAGTAGGTAGCTAATTCATCATTATAGTGTATCATTGGTATGATTATTAAAATGTTTTCCTTTTTTAGGGCTCTCCGTGCTAATAAATATAGGTGTAATGATTTAAATGATGCTGATTCTAATGTCAAAAAAGCCTTGATCCCTGATATTAAAATTGAATTTCTGAGGAAGAACCTTGAAATAGTAACAGTTGAACAAGCAAAATCAGAAGATGTGAAAAAGGAGAAAAATGATACATCAAAATTGTGCACTTGTTTACATGACATGATTCGACAGGTTTATAATATACTTCCTCAGTCTATGAAAGGCTCTATTCGAAATATCAAGGTGTTTGGTTTGATAATATCTCGTAAGTTTCTTTTTATGGCAATGGCACACTTTCTAATTGCATTAAGATATAATAGGTAATTTATGAATATTTTTCATGTAGGAGTTGATGTGACTATTTATGAACTTGAATTGCCTGAGCAACAATTATATGTGTTCCAGGAATTGTGTAGTTTTTCATTACCATTGACATTTGCTGATTTTCGATCAATGCTTGAAGTGACTATGAATTTCATAAAATTCAGGGTACATACATATTATTTTTTAGTGTTAAACTGAACAAAGAACTCACTCTTATATTTATTTATATATTTATTTTAGAAATTGGTGGATGATAACTTGGAAAAAATGGAAGCCGTGTTGGTCATTGACTTGAATAAAGCTAAATCTTCACCATTATCCTCACATGTTGATGATGAGAATACTAATGTTTACAGAGATACAACACCACCACCACAATCAGGGAAAAAATGGCTTGTGAATATTGAGATATCGCCTAGCTCAAAGAGTCTTAAAAGGTCACATGAGGATTGATATTACTAATTATATACATAATTTCTTTGAATTGATTGATTTCATTCACTATATATATTTTATTTATATTTAATGTTGAATACAATATATCTTTGATTGTGAATGCATGTTGTACCCTTTTAAAAAAGAAATTCACAAAAAAGTATGTAGACTAAAAATAGCAATAAAGTAAAAACTATTTGATAATTTATCAATTATCTTACATGAAGAATATTGATTGGTTAAGAAATGAGAAACAAGAAGTGATGAAAAAAATGAAAGATGTTTAAAACCACTATGCTTTTTGATCCCTGAAATCCTTGGTAATACCAATGTTCGCTTTGTCTGGTTTTGTTGCAGTATGCCCCATATATTAGATCCGGCTCAAAAATCCAAATTTATGCACATTACATAGATAAGTTACACGAAACGCGTTTAAACATCTTCAAAATTTTGTTGCATGTAAACACAAAACCCTTTAATTTTTTGGAAAATTTCAAACAAAATTAATTAGTAAAGATTTATAAAATTCTTAAAATTCTTCAAAAAAAGTTGCCAATCCCAGAACCAAAATATACAACATATAGTAAAAATTACTCTTTCTGAAATAAATAAATAATTTTAATTAATTTAAAGCAAATTTTTTACCAGCTTAATGATAGCTTCTTATTGTTTAGTAAAACTATCTTATTAATAAAATATTTTTTATATTTAGCATTTGAAAATGAAAAATTGGTATAAATCATTAACAGAAAATAATATTAATTATAAATTATTTTATTGAAAAGATCAAAGTATTTTTGTTCATGATGATTCATATCAACTGAACACCATGAAAGCATATCAAGATTTATATAGCTCATATATCTTGTGGATAAAAGCCCCTATAGGCATGAAATCTGATTTAGAAGATGAAAACACAGTATGGATTTCATTAATTCAATTCTAACAAAAAAGAACACGAAGGTTTTATCAATCATTCAATAGTTATATAAATTTATCTTTTATTTTAACTTATATTTAATAACATAACTATAATCATTATTTATTGTTCTAATCATTTATAGGAATAAATCCAAAAGAAAAATTTTATATATTTAGCACTTGACGATCTTCAAAAATCATGTGACTGTAAAAATTTTATTGCATTTTTGATTGGAATAAGTGACTTGCACTGTACGTACAAAGTAATCTATTAATAACCTAACGCGTACGTACAAGGAAGTCGAGATGTTTATTACTAGATTAAGGTTTTAACTTTTATGCGGTTTTTACTTTCATATGCTTATAATAAAAAAGTAGAAGCTTGCATGTGATACAGTCTAATTTCAACAAAAAATGCTTTCGACAAATGTTTTCAACATCTATTTACTATTAAGAAAACCAAATTAGCGTTGACTCATCTCCATTGACCCTTTTCGTTTAACAATTTCAATCCCTTGTATTCATTTATCAATGTTCCTACCTACCTTCAAGGAATCGAAGCTGAAATCAAAAATGTCCATCAATATCACCACATAGAACCAAACATATTTTGATCTATGGTCAAGGTGACGTGCGACAACGTTAAGTTAATGCAAAAGAGTTCTGTAAAGGGATTTCACTTCGGTTTGAGTACTGGAAAGAAATGAGATATTGTCGCTGGATTGCTCGGGTTGATTTTCTGGATTTGGTTATAGAAAGCAGGAAATGGCATAATGATTGATTCTATGATCCATGATTTCAAAAAATTAAGTGTAGACAATTTACTTAAGATTTAGGGGGTTTTTTTTTTGTTAATGAGCAAAAAATTTATTTATTTTATTGAATAAAAAAATCTAACCACATCAATTAAATTTAAATTGAAAATTAATTTCACAGCAGAAACTATCAGATCCTTCATTGTTAAAAATTCATTCAAGGCTTGTACATTTCTTTTAAACCTTTTTGATTTAAAAAATTTAACCTCTTGTACCCATTTATGACATTGACGTCCGCCACTTTTAAGCAGTCAAAATCAAAAGATAGAATGTCCAACGACTTCCAGGAAGAAGTTCGACTCATTGCCACATAGATTTGTCCTGGTGCAAATATGTTATGGTCTACAGTGAAGGTTGCATGTGGCAGTGTTAGGCCTTGAGTCTTGTGCACCGTAAGAGCAAATGCATTCTGCAACGGAAATTGACACCTTGATGCTGGTACGCCATTGACATCAACATTTGCAACGCTTTTCTGAACGTTGATTTTCATCACATTGTTAGTTGTTGGGAACGTAACTTCTACATTGTCATCATCAACGACTTTAGTCATCACTCCTATCGTCCCATTGCAGATGTTGTGCTCGAACAGTTTGTTGTAATGGATCTTTGGAGGTTCGTGTGATTCTTGAAAGGCAAGTTGCTAGACCCACCATCGACCCTCTCACGATTTAAAACATCAACAGCCAGGGAAACAACAGGATCGGAGCACTGGTCATCAAAAAATGACATAATAGGTTTTTTAAGTGGATTTAATAACAAATAATCAAAATTAAAGAAATACTATGCAAAAAGCAAGTGAGTAAAAAATATTCGAGAGGCGAATCGGTTTGTTTTTTATTCATTTATTTATTTATACATCCCAGTTCAAAGGTCAATTTGATCGATCAGGTGTTTTTTTCAAGCCTACATCACCATAGAAGGATAAGTTTTACAAATTTGATTGTTAAAAAAAAAAGATCTTTTTTTTATCTTTTCCTCATGTTCATTTATTTTTATCCCAGATTAAAGGTCAATAAAAAAATAAATTTCATTTGTTAAAAAAATCAACCAAGCTTTTTTTTTCTTAATTAAAAGAAAAAAAGATCCTTCGCAAAGAAGAACCCTCGTGTGAATCAAAAGCCATTTGCGAATTTCGATTGTTAAAATCTTTCGTCCTGATCTTTTTTTCGTGTTTTTTTTTTGTCTATCGCTATAGAAGAATAAGCTTCATGCAAACATCAAATGTCATTTACAAATTTCGATTGTTTAAAAAAAATCAACTAAGCTTTGTTTTCTTAATCAATCGACGTATTTTATTTGTTTTTCCCGAAAGGAAATTTTATTGATTTCTCCAAAAGGAAATGGTCAAAATAAAAGTTTTTTTTTATCCAGATCACCACCCACTATCTCTCTCAAATGGTCAAAATCCAAAAAAAAATTTTTAATTCAACAAAAAAAAAAATTTGCACATATTGTTTGTTTATCGATCATTTTTTTTTAAAATTGACAACGTTTTTGAACCACGGTCTCGTGACCAGAAAATATTACTAACGCGTTGTGTGACGACAAGCCTTTGACGATCCGAGGTAAAGGTTCCAAGACAAGACCATCAGTTTTTGGTCATTTTGAACGGTCCGAAACGTCGGTGTAAGACCTAACGGTAGACAGCGGTCAACACCACGCAAAAAACATCTAAAGCGAAACACGATTTCCTTTCAGTCAAATATCTGTTTCGCTCAACCCTGACGTTTTTTCAGTTTCACAAATCATGACAAACAGTTAGCAATTGGGATTCGCACGGTACAGTGAAGTAAAATAACCACAACCATTTATCATTAACACAAGTAATTAACACAAGTAAGAAACGAAACATTTGTCGTGTCACGACCACCTTTCAAAATCAGTAGGGCGAGCGATCTTCGTGCAGGTTTCTCGCCGATTGTCTCCTTTTGCGTTTAGCCGCACTTGGTTTTTTCGGCTTTTGGCGCAATCAACGTTTTCACCATATTTGGCGAAAATTGTGTCGTACGGAAAATGCTTCGTTTCTTAATAGATTCAATTGCAAGCGTTGCATGCAATGCTTCGCAAGATGAGGAGAGGCATGATCAATGAACCAGCAAAATTCTATCTTTTTCAAACCTAATTTTTTGGGAAAGAATTTTTTGTTTTCGTTGGGTGGTAAATTTCAAAAAAAATTTTTTTATTTTTCTGAAATCGATCTACGTGATTCTTTACTTTATTCTTTCTTTGAAATTGTGTGAATTCGCAATTCACATATGTGAAATTCAAATTAGCCAATCAGAATTTCACCCCATTCCATAATATTTCAATGTAAATACCTTTTTTCCACGTGATGAATGTTTATTGTGCAATAATAATATTTTTTTTTTCCAACCGAAGAGAACTATTTGGTAAGAATAAAAGGTTTTATTTATTTTACATTTACGAAGAGCTATTGAATTTCAACAATTGAATTATTGTTTTTTGTTATTTTATTTTATACTAAGAATAACTTTTTGGTGGTGGCGAAGCATCTTTCTTTTTTCGTTTAATATTTAGTCAGTGCGAAGAAGATCATACCATTGATTTGCTATTATTAAAAACATTCCTGTTTTTTGGATCGTACCATTGATTTTGTTTAAAGTGTTACAATTTACGAATTATCATTTGTCCATTGATTTAGAAAAGCATCATGCGTTTAATTAATTATTTATTTGTTTATTATGTTTATTACTAAAAACATTTTTTACTATTATTATCATATGTCCTGTTTTTTTGGATCATTGGTTTGTTTACTTTTAAGAAAAGCATTATGCATTTACAATTGAATTTATTATTCGGTTACTTTTTAATTATTTGACAATTAAATTGATTAATATTATTAAAAATAAAGCGTTGTGTGTTTAATCCAATCGACAATTGAGTAGTGATGTTAGCCGGTAGAAAAACCTTAACCGGCTAAGAACTTGAATAAATTTTTTATCTAATAATTTAGTAGACAAATACCATACTTTGTATAAATTCACTAAAAATCGGGGTTTTTTATTATTTTACTAAACGTTGTGCGTGAAATTTAAATTGGCCAATCAGAAA